TTTTTTTTTTTTTTGGGGGGGGGGGGGCAGAAAGCTGTAAGAGATGGAAAATAAAAGTTAAGTCAGTTCAAGGAGTGTTTTCCTCTGAGGTGCTGTATTCAATAGCTCGTTGCTCTGCGCAGTTGAAAACAGCAAATCTGCTTAAAGACAGTTCAAGGACTGGGTAGTTTTTTTTTCGAGCTCTTGTGTGTTTGAAAGGTTTTCTGTCTGCTTGTAAAGTTCAAATAAAAACATGCAACTCAACGTACTGAAGAGTCCTGTTTTTAGGATACACATCTCAGTCAGACTTGCTGATATCAAAACTATTTCCCAAGTCTAAAAATATATATAAATCAGATGTTAGCTGGATTGTAGTTTTTTTATAGAGAAAAATATTAAGCAAATTACCAAGACTTGCTCCCTGAGTTGGTTGCACATGTCTTGACAAATCCTGACGTTAACGTTTTCAGATCCAGACTGAGGTCAGAGTTTGTATCCTGCTCTGTTACTTTGGGCCCCAACTCAAGGATCGGTGAGCAGAAATGGAATATGAGGAAGCTTGGGTCAGGAGGTTGCAGGTCTTTAAATGCACAATAGGGGCTTTAACGCAGGAGCAGGAGGAGTTCAGGATAACAGCCTGCAAACTTTTAACACATCTAACTGTGGTTTTTTTTTTGTTTCTATCTATAACCAGAGTGGTAATTTTACTGTTTGCCAACATGAAAAGCACGCGTTCTTGTAATTGTCGGTGTCTGTTTGCGAAAATCTCATGAAGCAGCGGACAGATTTGGATGAAACTCTCACAGTTATCATTAGATGTACATCTGCAACTGATTACCTGTTGGAGTCAGTCCGATTCCAGATGGCGGCCACAGCTAATCAAGCCTGGAAAACAAAACAAAACAAAAAAGGGCTCAATTTTACAAACACTGAGGCAGAATTCTGCGTGGTAGTAGCTGAAAGTCCTTCTTGACGTACTCTGACAAAATACAGACTGAGTGAGGTCTTTGTTTTAAACTCTGGAATATAAAGCGCAGAGAAACATGCTTGGCTTCTAAGAAGGCTCATTAGGTTTTGTCTGAATGTTAACACTTCTAAAGGCTAATACAACGTATTGTCTGCAAAAACACTTTCGTACAGTTAAGTCAAGCTCTAAAGTCTCTCAGTTTTACCCTTAAAGTTCAAGTAATCTTCCATTAAATTATTCAGCACATAATCTGCTTCCATTAAACCGTCTGAGACATGATCTGCTTGGTCAAATCCTTCCTCTCCGTCTTCCTCCCAAACACTTAGTCCAGATAATTGTGCAAAAATGGCGATATTAACTAAGGGAACTGAACGTCTCCTTTTTCCTCTGCCAACATTCACATACTAACATTCAGAGTGTAGATAAGCGAGCAAGTCAATGAGGGCCATTTTGTCCGGCTGGCTGCTGAGTGATGGACAGTAATTAAAAGTTAGCTAATAACCTCTTCACACCTGACATTTCAACAGGGAGGTCCTGGACACCATTATCTGCATTTAGATTAAACAGCGTAATTGGTAGAGAGATAGGGTTAGGAGGATCGAGAAGGAAAAAGGGGGAGAAAAAAAAAAGGCCAGGCCATCGCCAAAACCATTAAGTAGAATAGCTGAGTGACACTCTGATTTTGCTCCTATTGCTAATGCGACAGGAACTGAGCTGAACTAAAAGGCTAAATGAATGAATCCTATCTTGGTGTGGTTATTAGCAGGGCAACACCTGGCCATGGAAAATAGTGTTAATTTCATAATAATTGCTGGGTGGACGTGACTCGTTAGAGACACAATGATGGTGAAAAGAGGAAGAGAAGGTGAGGAGGAGGGGGTAAAATGCAGGAAACTCTTAGGGTAAACGTGGTTAGCTGGTCTTCTTCACATTTCTGGCATTTATGCAAATAAAACTAAGGACTGAGGATATTTACTATTTATATTTTCAGTGTTTTTTTTCATTTATTAATATTTTAATGTTTTGTTTTCTTTCTTTTTCTTGGACACCAAGACTTTCATTGGACATTAAGGTACCTTATATTTTTATACATTCAAATTAGAAGTGAAACTAAATGAAGAATGAAATACAGCTTGTTCAATATGATGTACGTGACAACAAATACTCTGTCAGGAAAGTGGTGTATGTTAAAGAAAAACGAACTGACAAAAGACAAAAAAAAAAGCTCATTTCCATGTTCAGCATGAATTAGACAAAATCCAATAATGATAAAAAGAAGCAGGTCGCTGCCAGAATAAAACATACCTCCAACGTTTTATTTATTTGTTAGAATTAATCAGTTATACGTACTCTGAACAAGTAATAATGAGTGTAGTTAGTCAAATTGTATTATTTTTTACTGAAAAAATACAGTTTTCATTTTCTTCAGCTATGTAACAAAATCCAATAATGATAAAAAGAAGCAGGTCG